CTGCCCACAGGTGCTGAGGGAGCACATAGGCGTCAGGTGCTTCCTGGGTCTCACGGCCACAGCCCCTCGCAGCACCGCCCTGGATGTGGCCCGGCACCTAGGTGTGCCTGAGGGGCCTATTGGGCTCCCGGGCACTATTCCTGCCAACCTGCACCTCTCTGTGTCCACGGACAGGGACCCTGAGCAGGTAGTACTCCACAGTGCCCCTGGGGTGTTCCACTAGCCCTACTGGCCCACACGTCATGCATGACTCTCCACAGGCCCTGGTGACGCTGCTGCAGGGGGAGCGGTTCCGAGCCCTGGACTCCATCATTGTCTACTGCAACAGGCGGGAGGACACGGAGCGAACTGCTGCCCGCCTCCGCACTGCCCTGCAGGAGAGCCCACACCCTAGAGGTGAAGCCTGGCAGAGGCGTGGCCCTCGTGACCCCAGTGCCCGCCAATGCTGCGGCCCTGCAGTGTCTGTTCCCACAGGGGTTGGCACCGAGAAGGTGGCCCAGGCCTATCACGCCGGCATGTGCATTCAGGAGCGGCGGCGGGTGCAGAAGGCTTTCATGCAGGGCCAGCTACGCGTGGTTGTGGCCACTGTAGCCTTTGGGATGGGGCTGGACCGGCCAGGCGTGAGGGCCGTGGTGCACCTGGGGCTGCCGCCAAGCTTTGAGAGCTACGTACAGGCTGTGGGCCGAGCAGGGCGTGACGGGCAACCCGCCCACTGCCACCTCTTCCTACAGCCCCAGGTTGGTGCCTTTGTCGAGACCCCTGCCCCACACCACGGTACGTACTCCCTCTGCACTGCCCCCACCACCCCCACACACACCCCCTCTGCCTCTCCCCCTACCCCCAACTTCAGGGTGAAGACCTGAGGGAGCTTCGGAAGCACGTGCACGCCGATGCTGTAGACTTCCTCGCCGTGAAGAGGCTGGTGCAGCAAGTCTTCTCAGCCTGCTCCTGTGGCCAGCCCTCCCCAGAGAGCAGTAGAGCCAGGGCTGGGGTACCACTGGAAGCCGAGCAGCAAGGCACCCAGGACACACTGCCTGAACCAAGGAGCACCTGCCGGGGGCACACACGAGCCCTCTTGATTCAGCCTGCGGAACAAGCCCTGGACATGCCCCAGGAGGGTGAGGCCCTAGGCAGGGGAAGGGGGGAGAGGGGACGCCACTCCACGCCTCTCCGTCCCTGACCTCTGCTGCCCCACGCCCATCCATCCCTTAATTCTGCTACCAGCCATCCAGACCCTCCTATGCTACCTGGAACTGCACCCACAGCGCTGGCTGGAGCTGCTGCCCCCCACCTACGCCCAGTGCCGTGTACACTGCCCCAGTGGCCCTGCCCAACTCCGTGCCCTGGCACTCAGGTGGGCACACACCTGCCCAGGGTTGGTGGAGACAGGGACAGGAGCCTGTGGGTGGTGGTCTCATGTCTTTTCCCACCCTGGGCACAGCTGTCCCCCCCTGGCTGCAGGACTGGACCGTCGGGTGGCTGGGGACACTCAGAGTGGGGGTGCCAGCTCTGTGGAGTTCAACGTGGTCGAGCTGGCAGACGCCATGAGCTGGGAGCTGGCCCCTGTGCGGCGGGCCTTACGTCAGCTGCAGTGGGACCAGGAGCCCAGAGCAGGGACTCCACGGAGCACAGGGGTGTTGGTGGAGTTTGGGGAACTGGCTTTCCACTTGCGCTGCCGCGGGGACCTGACCCCCGAGGAGAAGGACCAGCTATGCGAATTTCTGCATGGCCGAGTGTGCACAAGGGAGCGTGAGGCCCTGGCCCGCCTGCGCTGTACCGCCCAGGCCTTCCGCAGGTGCGGGGAGGGGTGGGGCGACAGGGTGGGGCACCAGGTTCGTTTTCAGGGTGTATGTAACAGTAACTGTGGCCCCGACCCCACTCCACCACCCCACAGCGTGGCCTTCCCCAGCTGCGGGCCGTGCCTGGAGCAGCCCAGTGCAGAGCAGAGCACCCGGCTCAAGGCCCTAGTGGAGCGCTACTTTCAGGAGGAGGAGGAGGAGGAGGAAATGCTGGGCTCGGGGGACCTGGAAGGCCCAGAGCCAGGGCAGGACAGAGTGAGTGCCAGGCCACACCGGGCCAATAGCAGGGCCCCTGTGGCCTCCCCAACCAGAGGGACCCCAGGTGGCTGTAAGTGGGGAGGACCCCCAGGCAGCCTGGCCATGTCGGGGCACAGTGCTGAGCTACAAAAAGGCTTCCTGCCCTCTACCCCAGCTCCAGGACTGGGAGGACCAGATCCGGCGAGACATCCGCCAGCTCCTGTCACTGCGGCCGGAGGAGAAGTTCTCGGGCAGGGCTGTGGCCCGCATCTTTCATGGCATCGGTAAAGGGGTGAGGTCTGGCTGGTGGGGGTGGGGTGTGTGCATGGCATCAGAGACCCCATGCTGTCCCCTGGCCACAGGAAGCCCCTGCTACCCAGCCCTGGTATTCGGGCATGACCGGCGCTTCTGGAGGAAGTACTTGCACGTGAGCTTCCATGCCCTGATGCGTGTGGCCACAGAGGAACTGCTGCTGTGGAGCCACTGATGCCGACCGCAATGCGTGGGGGCAAGGGGATCCCCAAAATACAGAATAAAAGGAGCATGACTGCACACAGCTTCCTCCTGCTCTCCACACACAGCCCCCTGCACCTCAGACACAGCCTGGGGCACCCTAAACTTTATTGGTAGAAGGTAGGCACCAGGCCCAGGTAGAGAGTGGACATGGCCGAGAGGGCCAGGAAGAGTGAGAAGCAGGACCGGAGTCCCAGGCTGTCGGCCAGTGCACCGGCCAGCGTGGCCATCAGCAGCTTGCCCAGCAGCTCCAGTGTGGCCAGGAAACTGTAGTGTGTGGCCTGGGAGGGAGAGGGGCAGAATGGGTGAGCCCGGGAGCACTCAGCCTGCAGCCTCCCTCGCGCCCCACCATACCCCTCACCTGTAGGGTGCTGGGCGCAAACTGGCTACAGCGCATCATCAGGGTAAAGGTGACGATGGTGACCAGGCCCCCCAAGAAGTGCTGAAGACACAGGCTTAGCAAGGCTGCCCCTAGAAGAGGGGTGGAGATAAGCGGGGTCTGGGGCTTTGGGTACCCCCTAACAGTCCTCCCTACCTTTCAGGACTGTGCCAGGGCCCACACTAGTCTCCAGGGCATCCAGGCAGAAGAGCAGGGTGGTCTGGCAGGTGAGGCCCACCAGACGGAGCTGCAGGATTGGCTTCAGGAGGGGCAGCGGCTGCCTGGGGGTCAGGGGGTTTGGTGATCAGAGGGTGCAGGAAGAAGAGTCTTGGCTGGCTGAGGGGAGTGGAGACTCACCAGGGTCTAGTCAGCAGGGCCCCGCCCAGCGAGGAGCCTGCGATGGAGCAGGCCACAGCACCCACGCCGTTCCACAGGCCCAGCTCCTGGGCAGAAGCACCATGGTCAAGCAGAAGGAGCGGGAGCAGGCCTTCGGCACCCTGCTCACCTGGGAAAGAGGGTCATGGAAGCACTTCCAGGCCGCTCCCCTCCACTCCCCACCTGGGGCTGTGCTCTTTTTCTGCCCAGCCAGGCCCCCACCAGGCTTATAGCCTCACTCACCCAGCTTGTACATGAACACGAAGCCTGCCATCCATAGTGTGCCAGGCACAGCCAGCACAGCCCGCAGCTGGCACTGAGTGCGTGGGCGAGGCCCTGAGGGCTGAGACTTTGGCAGCTGCTGCAAGGCCGGTGCAGCCCAGGCCAGTGCAGCAGCCAATAAATACGTGGCGGCCAGGAGCAGGAAGAGCAGGGGCCAGGAGAGGGCAGGCACCAGCACCAACAGGCCCCCCCCAGCCAGGGCCGCTCCCACCTTGTAGGCCACCACCTGTACTGTGTTGCCAGGGCCCAGCTCCCGGGGCTCCAGGAGCTGCACGGCTAGTGTGTCCAGGGCCACATCCTGCACTGCTGCACCCAGATTCAGCAGCAGGAGTAGCCCCGCTGCTGCAGCCGGCAGCCCACCCTGGCCAGCCTCTGTTGGAGGCACAGCTGCCAGCAGCCCACACACCACACCCAGTCCAGCAGTGCTGAGTGCCAGCCAGACCCGCGGGGAGCCTCTCGTATCCACCAGTGGGGCCCACACCAACTTGAACAGCCAGGGCGCGTACAGCCCTTTGGCCAGCCCCACACGTGTCAACGAGAGGCCACCGGTCCTCAGCAGCATGGGCAACAGTCCAGATTGCAGCCCATAGGGCAGGCCCTGCACCAGGTAAAGGCCGGCCATTGGCAGCAGCTTTTGTCGCATGTCTGGAACCAGCGGGGGGGTGGGGGTGGGGGGTTAGGTCAAGGGTAGTGACGCGCCGGGTCCCAAGGTGCCCTGTGAATCAGGCCAGAAGTGACTGCCGAGGTGAAGGTCAGTCAGGTGGATCAGAGCGCACTTCCGCGTGGGCTTGGGAATGGGATCAGGATTAGACAGGGCGGTCTGGAAGAGCGTTGTCGGGTCCTAGCAGTGGCAGTGCCGTAAAATACCCGAAATCGGCTTTAAAATGGGGAGAGGTGGGTGCTCCCAACACGCGCAGGGCTTCCGGGAAGGGGGGCCCGCGGCTCCCAGCATCCTTGTGGCTGCGGGTAGCGCTCCCAGGTGGGAGACGCTGCCGGGCGGGGCTCGCAGGCTTCACCCGCTGCCCCTTCACCCTGAGTTCGGCTCCAGCCGCGTCTCTAGCACCCTCTCGGTTCCGCAGACCCTCCTGGAGGCCGAGGCGCTGGATGTCCGCCCGAGAAGCGTCCGGAAATTGCGCCACTATCATAGAGAGCGGGCCCGGGGCGGACGCATCGGCTCAGCGGCCCTCTAGCGCCTCGTGTGGCCAACCTGGGTAAGGGCTGCGGGCCGAGCTCCGTCTGTCACGTGCAAATCCCGCGAGGCTGGCAGAGTTGGCCAAGGGTTCTAAGATAGGAACCAACCACCAGTACTCGTCGCCTAGTCTTCTCCTCCCAGGGGCCACCACACCCGGTCCCTACCCAGAGTGACCAGGTTGGGCTTACCAGGCCTCTCCTTCCCCCGTGAGCAGGGCCTGAATTCAGCTGTGGAGGTGGGCGTCCTGAGTGATAGAGGGCAGGCGGGAGGGGTGAGCTGCCTTGCCAGTATGCTGAAGGCATTGGAAAGTGGACTGTTGCAGATGCAATTCGGTTAAAATCTACAGCACCTTATCATTTTATCACCCGTATCCATTTAAATTTGTTCTAATTTTTACTATTTTCTGCTTTCTTTGTGATTGAGATTTCTGTTTCTCTTGGCTATTCTTGTTAGCTTGTTTTCTGTATATGAAACCTATGATAGGTAAATCTAGAGCAGCCGTTCTCAATCTGTGGGTCCCCTTTGGGGTCAAACGACCCTTTCATAGGGCTCGCCTGATTCATAACAGTAGCAAAATGAAGAGTTATGAAGTAGCAACAAAAATAACTTTTTGGTTGGGGTGGGGGTGGGGTAACCACAACATGAGGAGGTATATTATAGGGTAGAGGCATTGGGAAGGTTGAGAACCACTGCTCTAGAGAGACAGTAACTGGATTAATGGTTCCTTGGGAGCATGGCAGAAGAGGGTGGGGGGTGGAATGGGAAGTTAATGATGAGTACAAGAATGAAGACAATCTTCTAAAACTGGTTGTGGTGGTTACAATTCTTGATGTGATTGAACTCTTAAATTGTATGATATGTGAACTATGTGCCAATAAACCTTTGGGGGGCAGGGGCTTTGTGTGTGATTAAGATCTGGGCCCAGGATGCAGACGGACTCCACCCTCAACACATGCCAATGTCCAGGTGACAAATCTGTGGGTCCCTAAAAAGGACCCATCCCTGGGCAAGTAATAAACCCCCTATCTTCTGCGGCAGCCACTGGAGCTGGCTTCCTGCCACTGGCAATATGTTGTTGGGGCCCAAGTGGCCTCACTTACAAACTGGACCAAACCAGCTGGACCCCAGAAAACTGTGCAGATGAAGTGAGGGACCCTCGAGTTGGCGTTTTCAAACCTCTTTGCCCCACCTCCCACCCACTTCAGAGCCCACTCAAGCCCAGGCCCCCTGCTGTCCGGGGAGCAGGGGAGGCAGCAAAGCCTCGCACAAAATTGTGGCTTGCTTTCCCATTTGGACATCAATGCCCTTCAAACCCCGCACCCCATTCACGAGTGCACCGAGACCATCGGCCCAGTTAAGAGTAAGACTTGACCCTTAGCCCTCACAGTCACTCTGCCATGGGGGCACAGACACACCAGCCCCGGTGGCCAGTGGCTGATGGCTGAGCAGTTCTGTGTGGCAATGGAGGAGGATGGGCTGGGGCAGGGATTGCACTTGGCAGTGTCTTTGCTTCTTGATGTGGCCAGCTGAGCCTTACCAGCAAAGAGTTCGGGACTCTCAGGTGAAGTGTCTGCCCCCCTTATCTGTACTCTGAATAGACAGTCTCCACCACAAGCCTACTGGAAGGCAAGCAGGGTCCGCCTCCTCTGGGAGTCCTCCAAGATGCCTCCCACCAGAACCGGCTGTCCCCAAAAGCAGAAAGAGTGCCCGCTCAGGTGTGGGTCCCAGGCCCGCACAGAAGGTGGCACAGAAAAAGGAGCCAATGCCACTCACAAAGCTGCCAGGAGTCCCCTGAGTCAGGGTGTCTGGCAGCTTTATTAGAATTCAGCAGAGGCAGGGACCCAGCCCTTCAGGTAGCAAGAAGGGCTCCAGAGACCCCCAGGGTCCTAGGTATGGTGAGCCAGGGCGGCACGGCCAGCCCAGCCTGTTCTGAGTGTCCTCAGAGGTTCTCAGGCATACTCTTGGGTGAACTTGGCATGGAACTGGCGCAGCTTCTCCAGCAGGGGGCGCAATTTCTCCATGGGGGGCAGAATGGTCATCCTATACAAAAGGGGGGACATTTGGTTAAGGCTGGGGGAGGGGGGAAACAGGGCACGGGGCTGTGCGGGCCTGGCCTCACCGGAAGTGGTAGGTTCCCTCCCGCTGCCCGAAGCCGCTTCCAGGCACCACGCATATGCCCGTCTCTTCCAGCAGGCGCATGCAGAAGAACATGTCCGGGGCCATGCCCAGCTCCTGGAAACCGACGGGCAGGGCGGAGGCTGAGTCCTGGCCCATCCCGAGGCCCCGCCCCCGCCCGCCCCCATGTCCCTGCCAGACCTGCGCCCGCTGCACAGCACGCGGGGGCAGCTGCACGCGAGGGAAGGAGTACATGGCGCCTTGCACGGGGTTGCAGCGGATGCCGGGGGCCTCATTGAAGATCTGCTCCGTGAGCTTGGCCTTGGCCGCCAGCTCGGACAGCACCGCCCGCTTCTCCTGCGCCAGGGTGGGAGAGGGCTGGTGAGAGCGGACACGCGATGGGCCTACCTAGGCCCACCGCGGCCCCGCCCCTCGACAGGCCCCGCCCTGCCGAGTCTGCCTTCTCCCCGCCCCTCCCAGGCAAGACCCCACTGCAGTCTGGCTGCTGGCACACGGACACCACACAACGGAGTGGACCTGTCCGCGGGAATCCCACGGCGCTAAGTCCGGGCGGGAGCTGGCTGCCGTAGCTTTGTCGTCGAGTGGGTGGGCTCGAACTGCTGGTTCAAAGCCAACAGGCCACTCGAACCTCGATTTTCCCACACCCCCTCGTCCTTCCCCACCCCAGCTTCCCTGTCCCCCTCCAGTTTGCACCTCCCTTCCTGTCCCCCACCCCCACCCCCTTGGGCTCACCGCCTGGAACTGTGCAAAGGAGGGGTCAGAAGGCCCGGGCGGGCTGACCACCATGTCCAGCAGGGCTTGGCCAGCCACAGGCGGGCACAGCCGCACGCTCATCAGCTTCTGCATCTGCTGCTGCACCTCGGGATCCATATTCACCACCTCCACGTAGCCGCCGCGGAACCCGCACCTGCCAGGGCCCGGGGGCGTCAGTGGTGAGCGAGAGGGCAGGGCCTGACCCCCACCGCCCGTCCTCGCGTCCCCGCGCTGCACGCACTCGCCCATGTAACCCTTGGAGGTGGAGTGGAAGGAGGCTAGCTCCTGCTGCGTAGAATACGGCGGCCCCATCTCAGTCAGCACCTTCTTGAACGAGTGGAAACGCGAGCCCTCGGCGTACACGTTGTCCTGGTACACCTGGGGGTGGGCGGGCGGTCAGCGCGGGGCTGTGCCGCCCGTCCCCGCCCCCCCACCCCCGCGCACCCTTCCTGGGCCCCGGGCCCCCGCGGGCACCTCGTCAGCCAGCAGGAAGAGGCGTTCCTCAAAGGCCAAGCGGATCACGTCCTCGACGCACTCGCGGGTCTGAACCTGTCCTGGGGGCGGCAGGACCAAGTCAGTCAGGGCGGGGGCGGGAGGGTGGAGTCGGTTTGGGGGCGGGGCGGGCGGGCAAGCAGCGCACCGGTGGGGTTACCCGGGTTGATGACACAGAGCGCGCGCGGGCGGCATCGGGCGCGCGCCTGGTGCAGCGCGCGCCGCAGCTCGGCCACGTCCAGCGCCCAGGCGCGCTCCTCGTCTAGGTAGTAGTCGACTTGCACAGCGTCGAGCTCGGCCAGTGTGGCCGAGTAGAGAGGATACTGCGGGATAGGGATGAGCACGCCCGTGCGCGTGCTGCCCTCGCCGGCCACCAGCAGCTTCAGCACCGTCTATGGCGGCACGGGGAGGGGAGCGGGGTTGGCGGGGTTCCAGGGCTGCCCCCAGGGTCAGATTGCCTAGGCACACAATGAAGCCCTGTGCCTTCCTGCCCGGACCCTGGCCTACCACGATGGCGTCGCTCGCCCCTGTGGACAGGAAGATGTTGTTGGGGTCCGAGGGGATGCCTCCGTCGCGCCGCTCGATGTACCGTGCCACGTCCTCCCGGACCAGCTGGATGCCTGAGCTGACACTGTAAGCCCCTGAGGCCCAAGGTGGATGGGGGCAGGAAGGGCAGGTGAGGGGACGGGACCACTCTCCCCTGGGGCCGCCTCGTTCTAGTTCCTGCATTCCTGGAAGCCCGCGGCTGCAGACTTACCCAGACTGTGACCCCCGCAGGCCTGCAAAATGCGCTCAGCCCTCCTCTTGGCATCCTCGGGGAAGTGGGGGCTACTCAGGAGCTCAGGGTGGACACAGAGAGCCAGGACCTGGCAGGAGCAAGTGTGAGGCCAGGGTCAGTGGGCCAAAGGGAGCGGGGTCGGGGTGGGGTGCTGGAGTCGGAGTCTCACCTGGCGCATGAATGTGATGGGTCTCTGGCCCATGGCCTGCGCATCCCCTATGTTGGCGCGGACGACCTCTGTAAAGGGCTTCTTTGCACCCTGGGTGGCACAGGGGCAGTGAGACTTCTCGGCTTGACCCCCCTTCCTCCTCACCCCATTCCATGGTTGAGGGGCTGACCCAGCTGTCCAAGTGTCACCAAGGGCAGCAGTGGGCCCGGGGCCATACCTGGCGAAGCTCCTGCTCCAGCTCCAGGGCTCGGACCACGATAGGCCCTCGGACAGCATACTCCACCTTGCGCACACACTGGTTCATGGTGTCCAGCGTCAGCACCTTGTCCTTCAGCCCATTCATTGCAGCCTGCCCCTGGTCACCTGTCTTCAAGGCCATAACCTGACTAAGGCCAGGCGAAAGAGCACCTCAGAAAGCGACCCAGAAGTGGGGTGGGAGCTGAGGAGGCCTAGGTGGAGAAGCGAGGGAAAGGGTGCCCTGTTTTGCTGCAGCCTGCTGGCCCGCTGAGAGAGAGCCGTCTGAGGAAGGCGCTGGCCTGCCTGGCCCCTCCCTGCCTGCCTGGGCACAGTTCCCCAGGGAGCCAGAGGGAGTGGGTGAGGAAGCAGGCAGGGCTTGGCTCAGGGCCCAGTGCCCGCCCAGTGTCCCAGAGCTGGAGAACAGCTGGAGGGTCATGGAATCTCTGGGGGGCTAAGTGGGAGGGGGGAGGTAGAGTGGGCCCCAGAGGCTGGCCAGCCGGGCAGGGTACACAGGGCAATGGCCAGTCCAACACTGTTAGGGCAGGTAGCATTGGGCCCTGGAGCGTTACCCCGGGCGGGTGCTGCCCGAGCCTAGCCCTCTGAGAACCCCCCATCTTGGCTGGCTGAAGTGCCATCTGGGGGCTCCTGGGGGAGGGAGACACACCGGGCTCACATGGCCAGACCCCAGGTTCCATCTGAAGTCTGGTGGCTCCAAAGGTCCCTGGGCTGGGGAGGGGCTAGAGCCCGGAAGGGCAGCCTGGGTCCCCGATGCCGATGCCGCAGCTGTCCCTTTACTATGTATAGGCCTGGACTGCCCTTGGGGACACACCCAGGGCCTGGGGTGACCTGAGCCCTTCCGGCCTGCCCGAGATTGGTAGGTTAAGCAGGATGCAGCAGGGATAGGCCCTCAGGGCCCCACCTCCGCAGGCCTGCCAGGCGCTGATAGGCCATGCCCAGGGGTGGCCTCCCTGCCAGCTTCGGAGTCCAGGCTCAGGATCAGGGAACTGACCCCCGAGAGGAGCCCTGACTGGCTAGTTGGGCTGGTGGGGATGCTGGCTGGGGTAAGCCCAGGGCAGCTGACCACCCCCCTACCCCCCACTCAGTCTCTCAGCTGACTCCCCTCAGTCTCACCTCCACCTTCTCTGCTTGCTGTACCTCGGCTTCCCCTCTGCCCATCAGAGAGCACAGGTTAATAAGGGCCTGGCCTGAGGCGGAGCCAACCCCCTCCGCCCCCTGGCAACAGGTGGACCTTGAGCAGCTAGCTGCACAGCCCCACACTAAATTTAACCCTGGCCTGCCCCTCCCCTGCCCCCACCTGCGAGGGTAACCTTCTGAGCAGATCGCCTGTGGGGGGTGGGGGGGAGTAGGTGTGGGGTGGCCCAAGCCCACTGCCCTCAGCATAATGGCCTTTAGGCAGGTGGACAGGCAGTGTCCTCCCCTCACCCACTCAGGGCCCCAGAGGGCCCCTCGACCTAACACACTGTGCCCAGCCAGCTTTGAGCTGGAGTGGCCAACTGCTTGTCCCCTCTACCAGCCCAGGCGGAAGCTGGCAGCAGGCCCCTGGGTCAGGGCTGCACGCCAGGGCTTGGGGCCTCCTCCCCCAGGGAGGCTGCTGATGCCAACTTTGTGCTTGCTTCGCCCCTTTGGCTCTGGCCCCACAGGCCCCAGGAAAAGCCCCACCTTTCCCAGCCATGGCCCCTGGTCCTCCAGGCAGTGACTTGCCCAGCCCCCACCTGAGGGAGCCCCTCACAGTACCTGGTCCTCCAGGCACGAACACTCCCAACTCCAGCCCCCAGGAGCCTCTCACAGTGCCTGGCCCACCAGGCATGACTCCTGGGGAGCTCCCACCCCGCCCCCCACCCCCCCAGCACCTGCCCTCTTTGGGGAAGCAGTCAGGAGGACTCTGGGCACGCCGAGCGCAGGCTTCCTGCCCAAGGCTGTAGCGGAGGTGGCACCTCAACGGGCCTCAGCGCGCACCCACAGGCTCAGGTGAGTGCGTGCAGGGGTGGGGCTGGGTGGGAAGGCACATGGGGCCTAGCAACTCGCAGCACAACCTGCTCCAAGTGGGGATGGTGGCCAGGCAAAGACACAGCACAGCACAGAACAGGCACAGGCGGCCTTTTATCAACAGTCACAGAGACAAGCAGCAGGGTCTTTCCCCAGCCCCACCCAGATAGGGCTTCTGCCCGACGCTGGCCGCCTGCCCACAGCACCAAGGCACACTGGGTGGGCATCCCAGGCGAGCCTGCAGCAGGACCCCTTGCTTGGTGAGGGGTGCCCTCACATGAGCAGGCAGCAGGGTCTCTTCTCCTCAGGGGCATCCTCCGTGGGGGCTGTCAGTTTGAGCAGGGGCGGGTCCCCACTAGCCCTAGTGTCCCCCTCAGCCTGCGGGGGCTCCGGGTCTGCAGGCTGGCCAGCATCAGGGGCTTCAGGGCCCTCAGGAGGGGGTCGCTGTAGCTTGGCAGCAGCTCGCTGGCGCTTGAGTTCAGCCAGGGTGTGATGGGCCTTGTCCCGCCCTAGGGCATGGGCCGTGGAACTGTCCAGAGGGCTCAGCTGGTAGGAGACTCTGTGGTCCAAGCGCTTGGAGTACAGGCGTGGCCCCAGGGGGCTCCCCACTCTGCCATTCTGAGGGCAGGTGGCCTCGGGGTCACCCTCCTGTGAACGGAGGCAGGCCTGACATCAGGGGGTGCTCCTGGGGCAGTAGTGGAGAGACCCACAAAGGGGTGGCTAAGCTGGGGGGGGGGGGGGACTAGCTTGCCGGAGGCACAGGCAGCTGGACACGAGGGCACAGCGCCAGGACAAGAGGCATTTCACAGCCAGCCAGGGCCACCTTTGGCCGGCCTTGATCCCAAGGGGCGGGGCAAGGGGTGGGGGCACAGCAGCGCACCTCAAGGGGTGGGGGCTGGAGCTCCACATTGGTCTGGCCATCCTCATCCTCCAGGGGCTCCGGGCTGGTGGGGGGGTGCTGCTGCCACACTATGGCCTCCTGCACGTGCTCCTGGCGGTAGAGGCTGGAGCGCTGGGTCAGGCTCGCCCGCCGCACCACCTTCCTGCAGGGAGGACAAGGGGAGGGAGTGGAGAGGCCACAGGCACTGCCCTGGGGGACTCTGCCCTAGCGCTGGCTGGCACTGGCACTCGGTATGGACGTCATGCCTTCTCTGCGCCACTCAGGTTAAAGCACCAAGGGCAGGGGTTGGCCGGAGGGTGCCAGCTGGCAGGATGCGGGGAGGGCAGGTCACAGGCGGCACTCACCCACGGCTCCCCGCGCTGGACGTGCGGCGTCGCAGCAGTGGGCGCTGGCGGCCCTGGGCCCGCAGGAGGGCGTCCCGCTGGTGCTTCAGCTCCAGTAACTTGGCGCGCACCTCCTCGTCACCGCACAGGTCTGGGTGAGATGGGGACACAGCTCTCGCGGCAGCCCCCTCTGGGCGCCCTCCCCACTCGCCCAACTGGTCCTCGGCAGTTCCCAGGACTCACCCAGGGGAGTCTCATCCAACAGGGACTTCCCATTCAGGTCGGCCCCGTGGGCCACAAGCAGCTCCACCAGGTGCACCTGTGGGCGGTGGAGGGAATGTGCATGCGGAGGGAGGCCCAGCTGCTTGGGAAGCCTCCCTTCCCCTCTCCCCTCCCCCCAACCCCGCGCCCCGCCCTCACCTGGCCCCAGTAGGCTGCTGCATGCAGCGGTTCCCAGCCATCCTGGTCCTTGGCGCTCAGGTTGGCCCGGTGCTCCAGCAGCAGCGCGGCAGCCTCGCCAAACCCATTGGCAGCAGCAACGTGTAGCTGCAGGCAAAGGACCAGCCCTGACTGCGGCGCCGAGAGAGAGAATCCCCCAGGGCTCCCCTGATCCTACAGTGTCCTACTGGCTGCAGTGGCAGTCTGCCCTCACCAGCGTGGCCCCATGGTCCTGGGGGGTGTCCAGCTCGGCCCCCGAGTGCAGCAGGCTCTGGATGTCCTCCAGCATGCGCAGCTCTGGCACTGCCCGGGCGCCCTCAATGCTCTCCTGGGTGATGCCTGCGGGGCCGCAGGCTCAGCACCGCAGCACCCCACACCCAGCCCGGGCAGTCCGGCCACTCACCGCAATCAGCCATGGCTGTCTCCAGACAGTCCAGGGTCTGTCCATCCTCACACAGGTCATAAGGCATGTTCCCATCAGTGTTGACCGCCAGGAGGTCAGCACCACTGAAAGGAGAGCAGGGGCCCAGGGGTGACTCCCACCTGTGCTCCCATGGCCGTCCTCCCAGTGCTCAGGGCTGCCTGGGGCCCATGTGAAGCCGACCTCCAGTAGCCACCCCCATCCCTGCTCCTGGGCCTACCGGGCAATGAGCAGTTCCACCAGGTGGAGGTGGCCACAGGTGGCAGCAGCATGCAGGGGCGTCCAGCACTCACTGTCGCAGGCATTGACATTGGCCCCAGCCTCCAGGAGCTCCTGCACCAGCTCCCGGAAGTCATCGATGCAGCACTGCGTGCCACAGGAGCCTGAGGGGTCGATCACATCCAGATCCCACCCACCCCACAGCCCCCTGACCCCAGCAGCACCTGCTGACCTGGTGAAGAGCCGTCAGGCCGTCCTCATTGGCCAGGTTGGGGCTGAACCCGCTCTCAAGGAACTGGCGGACTGCAAGGGCAGGGCCCATGGTCAGGGCAGGGAGAAGACTAACTGCCCTGGGTCCCCTGGGCCCACAGCACTTGGAGTCCTTGTAGTACAATGGGGGTACAGATGGCAGAGAAGCTGGAAGCCCAGTAGGCATGCCTCGAGCTGGGCCACCAGGCACCCACTTCTCAGACCCCAGGATGGCTGCCAGTGCTTCCCAAGTGAGCACAGCCCTGCGGGCCTCTGGACAGTTCCACCTTGGTCCTTCCAGGGCCTTGCCCCCACTGCAGCCTGCCCCATAGGCCAGCCTGCCACATCCCCCTCCTGCTGCCATGGGGGCCCAGTGCCTTGGTGAAGGGGCCTCCTTGCATAGCCACCCCACTTGGGGTTCTGGTGGCCAGAAAGGATGTGGAGAGGGGGAAGGGCAGCAAGGGGCCCGGGGCTCTGGGCCAGCGCCTGTGGCAGGAGAGCCAGGGCCAGAGCAGGGCAACGCTCCGCACACACCCACCTTCCTCCAGGTCATTGCGTGCGGCAGCCTCCAGGAAGGTTACACTGGGGGGAAAGAGGACCCGCTTCTCGGGCCGGCCACCATCTGTGCCCCGCCGCTGCCGCTCCCCGGGGCCCCTCCTGCCCCGAGCCTCCTTCTGGGCCTGGGCCCACAGCCGCACTTGCTGGGCTCGCCGCTTCTGGGCGTGCTTTAGCCGTTCCTGGGCACTCATGCGGCCCACCACGGGCATCTCGGCCACCAACTCCAGGTGCTCAGCCATGGTGGAGGGCAGGGCCTGCAGGGTGGGGCAGCTGGCTGCTCTGGCACCCTCTGGGGGCATCCCCCCAGGGCAAGTTCCGAGCTGGGTTTCCCTCACCTTCTCGCAGGGACCTGCGGCCTCAGTCCAGGCTCTGAGCTAACTGCCCAGACAGCAGAGTCTTAGCCCCTGGCACCTCACCAGGGGCGGGGCACACAGAGGCCAATCACAATGGCCACTCCTGAGCCCCTCTGCCCACCTTTCAGGCCTCAGGACTCTGGATGGGGCCTGGGAGCTGCCATGGCGGGAGCCCCCACAGTGAGTGCATGGCCCAGGGTGCTGCTGGACACCAGGGTCACTGGGCTGGGCCTCTCCTCTCACGGTCCTGGGGCCCCGGCACGTGGGGACTGCTGGGGAAGCTGGCCAGGTTGCCAGGGTCCCCAGGCAGGCCAGCCTATGGAGTCGCTCTTCCAGAAGCAGCACAGACACCGAGGGAGGGGCAGAGCAGCAGCCTGCGGAGGAAGCACACAGGGAGAGGACTGGGCCATGTTCTGGGACCACCCTCAGTAGGGCCTGCCTTCTGCCCGCACAGGGCAAGTGGCTGCCAGGTACCCTTGGGCTCACTAGCCCACCACCCACCCCACCCCACCCCAGAAGGCGGGGCAGGGCAGGGCTGGTGCCTAGGGGTCCTCAAGCCAGAGCCTCCTGAACACACCCTGGACAGCATCCCAAGGAAGGCAGCATCCCACCCCCGGGCACCAAGTCCTGCTCAAACCCCACTGGCCACAGCTTCCCAGTCCCAAGGAGGCCAAAGGACCATATCAGGCAGCATCCAACCTGCTCCCTACCCACATGGAGCCCTCCATGCCCTAACCTACCAGCCCCCCAGCTCCTGGGAGCCACCCATAGCATGCTGACCTCCACTCTGCAGCACTACATGTGCGGCCCGGGAAGCCACCTAGACAACAGCCCTAGAGGACTGTTGCCAGAATCAGCACGGACTCCTCTTCTTTTTCCTTTTGTTAGCTGGGATCTAACACATATCTATCCTTCCACGTTTCAACCACATTAAACAGAACTGTACAATTGCTACCTCAGTCAGTTTCCAACCATCCTTTCCCTATGTGGCCTCCTTGACCGATCCTTGTTCTGCTTAGCTCCCATGTCACTCGCACCCCCACCCTTTAGGAAGAGGGCATTCTGGGGGCCCTCTCCTTCTCCAAAGGACAGAGTTGGTCTGTCAGCTGCCTACTTCCACAGTGGTCTCAAGAGGCAGAAGGCACCAAGCTGGGCCCTGCCATCCTAGCACACAGCCTCACCCCACAGACCGGCCCTCCCCCGGGGGGCCCTCATGAGCACACCGGACCAGAAGCACCTGAGGTCAGTCCTGGGGTGACCTTGGGCTTCTCACGCCCTGCCCCAGGGCCCAGGTCTGTCCTCCATGAATAAGCGGTGAAGCAAGGAGACTACCACATGGTGGGCCCATCCCTGTGGTCCTCGGTCGGTGTCGCGGCACCCACTTCCCCCAAGCTGAGCCCTGAGCTGGGACCCTCTCCGCCTCCAACGAGGCCTGTTCAGTCCCCTTGCCCAGAACCCACCTCAGAAGGGAGAGGCCAGCCAAAGACCAGGGGCAGGTCTTGGGGTTCTGGGGGGAAAGTTGCCTCCTTCCTACCTGAGTCTGGGCTCAGTGCCACTCACCTGGCTTCCTCTTCCTGGCCGGAAAGCCCCCTGAACATAGAGGGTTAGACTTGCTGCCAGCTGCCTCCAGCCACCACACAGCCCCCTGCTCAGGGCAGGGCAGCTCCGCCCTTCCAACCACAAATCCTGCCCCAAGCCTCCTTGGAATGTCAAACAGAGATAATCTGGCCACCTTCTCCCAAGGCCCCCGGCCCTGTGCCCGACAGCACCTCAGGGTGGTGTGTCCCTGACTGGGGGGAGGGCTGCCCTCTGGGCCAAAGGCACCAGCCTCATGGTGGGAGCCTCACCCAGGCCGCAGTCCAGGTCTCAGCAGTCCCAACAAGGGCAACCCTGTCTCAACAGAGGGAAACTGAGGCAGGTCTAGACCCAGGGCTCCTGTTAACGAGGTCTCTGCACAGTCTTTCGAAGCGCTGGAGAGAACCCAGAAGGAGGTGCATGTGGGGTAGGGGTGCCGGGAGGCCTGACCTGCTCTAGAGAAGCAGGCAGGGACAGCAGGGCAGGGAGCAGCTAGCCTACGTGTGTCAGCCGGGCCCTGGAAGGCTGTAGCGTCCCCTATGTGCTGCATAGGGGTGGGAAAGTGTTCAGGCCAGTCCTTGGGGCTTCTCCTCCGGCACTGGGCTGGCAGGCCCCAAGAGCAGGGGAAATCACCCAGTGCAGCTCATGTCTCCACCAGGAGTGGCCGGGTACCAGACCCGTGGGGGGAGCCAGGTGGATGCATCCTATGCTCACATCAGTCATTGGGTGGAGGGCAAGCCTCGGTCCAGCAGCCTCTGCGGCTGCGGCCGGCCAACGGCATGTCTCAAGCTGGTAGGCGAGAGGCCGGTGCATTTGGGTCGCAGCCCTCTCTGGGAAGGGCAACTGGCAGCGGTTCGAGGGGGAAGCAGAGAGGGAGGGGATCCCGGCCCCGCCCCTCCGGGGTCCCTTAGGAGCACTCACCTCTCAGGGGCCGCTCCGCTGGCTTCCCCAGCACCGCGGGCGGAGGCTGGGCACCCGTCGCTTCCACTCGACGGCCAGCTCCGGGGCGGCTCGCCCAGGCCCTGCCCGCCAGCTCTCGGCAGGGACGCGTCCAGCGCCTGGAAGAGGACCCTCCGTGAGGCCAAGGCCAGACGCTGGCAAGGCCGCGGGGTGCTTGCAGGGCGCTGCGCTGAGACCCCGGCAGAAGGCGGGCAGGAGAGTGGCCGTGCCCGGTAGGGGCAGAGAGAAGACAGAAGGCAGCCCCAGGGAAGCTTTCAGGTGATCGCTCACCGCCACCCCCCAGGGGCCACAAACCGGCCCACGTGTGAAGCTCCGCCTCCGGAAGTAACGGAAATGTCTCCCACGAGGTCCGCTAAACTACCGGAGAGTCACACACAGCACCATCTGATGACCAACGTTTCTGGGGACGTTTGGGAAAGATGGCTGTCACCTGTTTATAGTATGGGTAAACAGCGACTTCTACAGTGAACGCCAAGCGGGAAAGGGAGTCCATCGTGGCTCCAGGGGAGGGCGCAGGTGAGTGGGCATTACCCCCTGGGGGGAGGAGATGCCAGTGCCAGGCTGGCCTTCAGGCGGGAGAGACAGAACACCCTCACTGACTGGAAGTGTGTCTTCTGTGGCTGCGGGTGTGGTCTCATCCAGCAGGCCTGGGGAGCCACAGGGGCTTGAACCAAAGAAGGCCGGAGGCACTCTGCTCCAGCTGAGAGATCGCGCAAGACTGCAGGAGAGGCCACAACCACTAGACCAGCTTGAGAGAGATGGGTCTGTGGCAGGTTTCCCTGCCCACAGAGGGAGAGCGGAGCACCCTCAGGCAGGCAGCTTCCTGGCAGAGTGGGCTCCCTCCAGGCATGTCCTGGCGGAGTTGAAGGGCAGAGGCACTTACCCTCACCGGGCAGAGGCACAGAGGGAGGACCAGAGCTGTTCCTGTGACTTCCAAGCAGACCACGATCTCCCCTGATAAATCCCATAACCATTTGTATGACCTGTGAGTTCTGTGTGGCCCATGGGGTAAGTGCCCCACCCCAGCTGAGAAACAGGGTACTGGGAGGGATGGGTGGTACTGGCAAAGGCAAAAAGGCTGAAGGGTGGGGACATGTCAGACCTCTAACTCCTGGGGATTGGCTCTGGGCTGATGCAGACTCTTGCCTCTCTCCCTGAAGTTCGACAAGGTTTAACACCACTACCTTACAGCAGCCCCCAGCACAGCAAACAGATGAAAGAGCTGGTGGGAATACAGTCAGAGCCCAGGTAAGCTCTGCCGAGGCCCATAGGGTTTCCAGGCTGAGCTCTCCAAGCATCGCACCATCTCCCTTCTCCTCCTCCTCCCGTCCAGCATGCCAGTCAGCCAAAGGCTCACCTCCAAAGAGCAGGATCCAGGTGGGAAACAATCCAGAAAGAGAGGGAGCAGAGACCTTCCGAGAAAGGGCCCCAAAGGGAAGAACCAGCTGCCGGATTTAGGAAGAGATGAATGGATTTCACACAAAAAGTCCAGGTGCAATGGAGAAGCAGTAAAAAGCAAGAACACGTTCTTGGAAATTAGATATAGCTCCTGAAATTGAAACCTAAAGTCAAGGCGATCTTAAAATGTAGAATAAGAGGACAGAGACAAAAAGTACAAGAAAACAAAAGCTGATGGCACACTAACAGAAGTCTCCTAGAGCAAAAACAAAGGTGGAAGGAGGATTAAAAATATTTGAGAAATCTACAATTTCTCAGAACAAAAGGGCATGACCTCTCCTCTCAGAGGTGAGAGTGCTTGCCAAGCAGCCACTGGGGTCTTCAACGCAACCATGGAGAAGGTGCCGTAAGTCCCCCCAGTCGAAGCAAAGCAGAGTGAGAAACCAGACAGACTCACCGGGAGGGCTGGGCTCAACAATACTGGGAACAACCCGAACATCTGCCTCCACAAGCACGAAGCCAGAGAACTAGATGGTGCCCGGCTACCAACACGGACTGCTCCAAGGGACCACCTTAGGAGGTCCTGGGTAGAGTGAGGGAAATGGAGACTCACGCTCAAAAATCATAAAGCAGAGCCAGGCTTACTGGTCAAATAGACTCTGGCCCTTAGTCACCCTTCAGGCCTGGAATGGAACACACCCCGTGTTAGAACAATTAAGCACTGAAGATCAAAGGGACAAAGTGCAGAGGGTGAGGAAAGGTGAGCTGGAAACAGGAAGCACCGGGAGGAAGTGGGAGGATGCTGGGGCTGCAATGAATGAGCAGAAACCAAGGGGGCGTGAACTGTAGAATTTTGGAAACTGATGCCACAGCAGCTCTGCCCCGGCGCTCCAGGGTGGCTCTGAGTCAGGGCAGACTCCACAGCAGAGCTTATGTGCGTGCCTACCTCTTGGCTTCCGACTCTTCCGTTCCAAGTGCCAATAAACCACTTGATGGCACATTTGGTCAATTTCAGACTGAAGACATTGGGAGAATTCTTCAATTGCTGCATCACTAGCTTCAGTAGTTGGTGCATAAATTTGAGTCATAGTAGCTTAATTGGATATCCTCAGAAGGGAATAAATACTATCCTGTGACAGACGGGACTGTACTTCAAGAAAAAGTAAATGAAACTGATGATCTGCTCAGTAAACTCTCACCCAACTCACACTAAAATGCTTGTCCCAGTGGCAAAGTTACAGCCCACTGGGGCAGCTCACAGGGAGGTCACTGTGAAAGGCTTAGATTTCCCACAGAATCCTGCCAATGAAGACATGACATGTATATTTCAAGAAAGGGAAAACCTTCCTGTCACAGAAGATAACTTTGTGAAACTTCAAATTAAAACTTGTCTCTGAGCCAGATAAACACAAACCTTCTGGAAGAAATAAAGATGGAAAAAGATTTTTTTCCCTGTTGGGAGGGAAATTGCTGGACGTGTATTAGATGCTGGAAGCAAAGTCTCATTCTTTTAGCCAGATGATAAAATAGTAGGAATTGTACCCCTGGGATCTGAAGACTCAGCTTCATGGTGCCGATAGAGTCCACGAGCATTACTTGGTTCATAAACCAGAAAAGGTCATGTGGACAGAAGGAGCGCGAACCACTCCAGATGGACTCTGAGCCTCCACAGCTCTGCACTACCGTTCTCATCTTGCTCCTGGGAAATCAGTGCTGACCATGGAGGGAGCCACGTGCTTTTGAGACAAAAGCCATTCAGTTAGCACACCCTAGAGGAGTCACAGTGGTTTCAACAGCATGGAGCCGGGGAGACAAGTGGTTCCTCGACGGTTAGGCCTGAGTGATCCACTTACCCAACAGGACGGCCCATGTTGCTGAAAGCAACAGGCTGGAAGAGACCAGTGGCCTGGGGTTGGTCTTGTCCTTGCTGCTGGAGTGAGCTGTAAAGATGACGAACCCGCTGTAAAATACAGCTACTGCCACATTCGCACGATCATCTCACTCGTGGCCATGGGAGGCCGCTGGGTCCGAGAGAAAAGCCTCCAGCCGGCCTCACCCTTTTCCTCAAGGAACCGTCTTTCCTTAACGCTGACGTCGGGGAGTTTCCAAATGCACAACAGGGACCCTACCTCTGTGTCTTAAAAGATGTGGAGAAGTTATCAACTAGTGCTTTGGGACCTCAGTTGGATAAACCCATCCCACTGTATGAGGCCAGTTTCCATGGAAGTTGATTTTTAAAAAATCAAGAAAGGAAAAAAGCAAGTTACTCAGTTTTAATTGTATTCAGCCTCAGACTTCAGTTGGATGAACAGTATTTGAAGCTTAAGTTTCCCTGAAAGATTATCCCCCAAAAAAGGATATACAAAGCAAGTTCTGTCTTTAAACAAGTTCTCCTGCTAAGACAAGATGCTCAGAGTTATTTAAGTATTTGAAACGTAGATGACTGCAAATGGTCAAGATGATTCTATAGCTAACATCTCAAGGAAATATTCTGAAAATATTTTTTCTCTGTATGTTTTTCCTCTGCTGCAAATGAAAAAAAAAATCTGCTTTTAGCAAAAGCCCCCCCCAAAAGGAGAAAGCGAGAGAAGCCCACCAAAAGGCAGGCCCACCAGCGAGACATGAAGGAAGGGCAGAAGAGAGAAAGAGGAAGGACACACTCACAGCTGGACAGTCCGCTAGGCCACAGCCACTTTGGGGGACAGCCAGGACGACACCAGCCTTTGAAGAGGAAGAGGGAGGTCGACAGAAAGCACCTGCAGTGAGACAGTTCATTGTGCCAGCCTGGCTGATACACGCAGGTGGGATGGACTGAGGGGCGGAGAGATGGATGGCTTGGTGAGTCTCGCCTTTCTTGTCTCTCGCTCTGTGATCATCGGACCAGTGTGCGGCTGCCTTGCTTGTTCTGTGCCTCAATTTAAAGGCTACACAGCCTGTGGGACGCCTAGCCTGTGGACTGTGTTGCTGTAAGTTGAGGTCCCTTTAAGACTTCTCTGGAGCTGGGGACTGGCGGTTGGTGACCTGCCTTGTGATTGCCTGCTGTGCTGACATAGCCTAGCTCTCTCTACAAATAGAGGAAGATCTGGCATCAGACTTGAAGGACTGCTAGTCTCTCAACTTTCTCTCATGGACGTGAGTTGCACTAAGCCATTTATAGTGCTTTCTAATTTAACTGTTTATTTCTTGTATATTAATTTCTTGTATTGTATATTTATCTGTATATGATTTAACAGTTCATTTCTCGTTATATATCTAATTATCTTTATAAATAAATATATCATCAGGAATTTGGTTTTATCTCTCTAGAGAACCCTGTCTAACACATGCAGCTTGAATCCCTACAACACCGTGGGCCAGTGCTGAAGAAATCATTCTGAACTTTTAATCCCACACAGCTCAGCCAAGATTCAGCTGTGCAACTCAGGCCTTGCTCGCACTGTGCCTCCCCACTCCCTCTCCAGAAGCTGCAGGGGGAGGGGGCAGGGAGGACAGGCACCCAGGAAGCCTAGGCCCAGGGGGACTCAGAGGAGAAAATAAGGGCACAGTGGCCAGTGAGGGACTCAGAGCATGCCACTCGGTCATGAGCTGTGCCGGCCCAAGGGAGGTCTCAGGGGAGGCTCAACACCCAGGAGGGCGGAGGCCTGAGCGGGTGATGACGGCGGGCCCGGGGTCCTCCAGCGGCAGCAGGCATCTGGACCAGAAGCCAGCCAGAAACGTGATTCCTCTGGAGCAAGCGAGGCCCATGCACTGGCACACAGCCCTGAGCGCTACAGCCTCCCAACTGTGCGTACAGAGAAGGCAACTCAATCAGTTGGCAGCCTGAACGAACGAACGTGGAGGCCAGGCCCACCTGTAAGGACGCAGGGGAAGGAGGCAAGCGGGCCACCCCCTCCAGACAGGGTCCAACTGATGTCACTTTGAGGACTAAAGTGTGCTTGCCCCAAGCCACGGTGTTTGCCATTGCCTCACATGCAGGTAAATGCTGAACAATGAACAAGGAAGGAGGAAGAATTAAAGCATTTGAATGATGACGCCGGAGGAGAAGAATATTTAAAGTACAGCCAGTTTGGGGGAAAGTACAGCGAGATTTTGTTTTGCGTACTTTGGCGCGGTCCCTGGGGAAGGACATCATGCTTGCTTGGTCGAATAGGCCAGTGAAAAAGAGGGACGGCCTCAGGAAGATGGAAGGACACAGTGGCTGCAACAATGGACTCCAACAGGTGGGGCCTCCTGCTGCGCAGACAGGGTCGCTCGGAGTCACACAGCAGCAGCAGCAGCAAAAATTAATGAACCACAACAAACAGCAAACACTGAAACCAAAAGCTGTCTCTCTGGAAATCAGCATCAATACGACGGAGAATGCTTTTCACTAGTCTGATCAAAAGAAGGGGGGATAATTATAAAAATCACCCAAAAATCATTCATGAAAAGGTGTATCACTACCAATCCGAAGGGCATTAAAAGGTTAACAATTGTAATATTACGGAATTAATGAAAGCCGAATGAACGTCGAACATAATAGTGGGACAAGAGGAAAGTAAAAGGAAACAGAGGAAAGAACTAGGAGGCAAAGGACATTTATAGAGGTATAAATACAGGCATGTACATATGCAAGTGTATTAACATGTATAACAATCGGGAAATAGATCTATGTACATATATTTATAGGTTTAGTATTAAGGTAGCAGATGGACGCTGGACCTCTACTCAAGTACTACCTCAATGCAAGAACACTTTATTCTAGTAACCTGGGATTCCATGATGCTCACCTTCCCAATGCGATCGCTGAAGACAAAAGCGGGTACACATAAGCAAATGTGGTGAAGAAAGCTGATGGTGCCCGGCCATCAAAAGATACAGTGTCTGGGGTCTTAAAGGCTTGAAGACAAACAAGTGGTCATCTAGCTGAGAAGCAACAAAGCCCACATGGAAGAAGCACAACAGCCTGTGTGATCACGAGGTATCGATGGGATCAGGTATCAGGCATCAAAGACCCAGAGCGGAAAAATCACATTGATATGAATGAGGGGGAATGCGGAGTGGAGACCCAAAGCCCATCTGTAGACCATTGGACATCCTCTTACAGAAGAGTCACAAGGAAGATATGAGTCATTCAGGGCACAGTATAGCACTGATGAAACATACAACTTTTCGCTAGTTCTTTAATGCTTACTCCCCCTGCTATCATGACCCCAATTCTACCTGACAAATCCGGCTAGACCAGAGCATGTACACGGGTACAGATAAGAGCTGGAAACACAGGGAATCCAGGACAGATAAACCCCTCAGGACCAATAATGAGAGTAGCCATAGCAGGAGGGGAGGAGGAAGATACCAGGGGAGAAAGAGGGAACCGATCACAATGATGTATGATGTACATATCACACACACCCCCCAAGGGGGACGAACAACAGAAAAGTGGGTAAAGGGAAACAGCAGTCAGTGTAACACATGAAAAAAATAATTGATAAATCATCAAGGGTTTATGAGGGAGAGAGGGTGGGGGAGGGAAGGGAAAAGAAGCTAATAGCAAAGGCTCAAGTAGAAAGAAAATGTCCTGAAAATGACGATGGCAAATGTACAGATGTGCTTGACACATGGGCGCATGTGTGGATTGTCATGAGAGCTGTAAGAGCCCTCAATGAAACGACGTTTTAAATGCAATACTATGAATAATTTATGATACTTGTTATGAACTTAGATCAGGGGTTGGAAAATTTTAGTGCTTGAGCCAACTGTGGCCCACCACATGAGCTTATAAATAAAGTTTGATGGACACACAGCCATCCCCATTTACATACACCTGTGTGTAGGTTTTACCCTTAAACACAGGCACTGACGAGTCTCGCGTATTTACGACTTTTACGACGTGGCCTTTATAGAAAGAGGTGCTTATAATGAATTGAGACAGAACGGACACAATTCCAAGACCATGGCCCTTCCCTTCGGGTCTGAAATTGAACGCACCTCCACATTAGACCGATCAACCGGTTAAGGTCAAAAGGGCGGCATTTGCCCAAGGTCAAAGTTCAGAGGGAAGAGGAAACACAGGGACAGGCCACAGTGTGTGTAGTTAGGTGCCACCGCATGGGGTCCAACTACGAACAACCTTGCGTCCACCAGCAGGAAAGCCGCACTGCCCACGTCTGTGCCAGCCTCGCCAGCCGTAGCTTCAGCCCACTGGTGCTGTGGGGTCTTCCACATGATAGGCCGGACTTTGTTAAAATGGAAAACTTCTGCTAATCCTATGAAAGACATAGGGCAGAAAGGGAATAAAAAGACAGTCACAGCAAAGAGGGATGGCTTACAGCACACACACACACCTGGTCAAGAATTTGAAGTCAATAATAAGAAAGTAAAGAACCCGCATATGAAACAGACAAAAGACCTAAGCGGTAACCTCACCAAGAAGATATGCAGGTGGCCAACACGCACGTGCAAAGACACCCAACCTCATGTGGGCAATCAGCTGCATTCCCATGCGAGATGCCTCCCGCGCCCACTAGAGTGGCTGACATCCAGCATCAGATGCCAAGCCGTGTCACACGAGAACGCTCACTGGGGTCCCGGACACACCGCAATGGCAGGCCACCTGCACAGGCCTCACAGAGCTAACCATGGACTTACTCACGACCCATCCACATGGTCCTAACTATTTATCCCAACGGGTAAAAACACAAGTCCAAATTAACCCTGCACGAGAATGTTAAGGCTTTATTCATAGTTGCCAAAATGAGCAGCAGCCGGGAAGTCCTTCAATAGGTGATGGGATAAAGCCCCCGGTGGCATGTCCACACAATGCAGATGTATCCAGTGACTAAGTCAAGCAAGCTCACAACCGGCACGGAGGAGCCTTAAGTAACAACGCTGCTGCGTGAAAGGAGACAGACAGTCTGATGCTGCCTGTGTGGCACTCTGGAAGAGGTCAAACAAGCACCCGTGGTGGCCAGGGGACGGGGACAGGCAGGGATGAACGGTAGTACCCAGGGCACTTTAGGGCCGTGAAGGGACCCTGTGTGACACTGAGATGGTGGACATGGACACGGGCAGGAAGCATTCGCCAACCCCCCACAGTGACGGACAACTGATGTAAAGTGTGGGCAGTCGTTAGCAATTGGTTCATCAACTGTGGGAAATGTACCACCACAGGAGGGCAAGATGCAAACAAGAGAAACGTGTGCAGAGGGTCACACACAAGAACTCTCTGAACTTTCTGTACAATTCTCGCTCTGGAAGAAACTAGCGGCCATGTGCTGAGGTGCTCGGGCTCTGGGGGAGGCACTGGGCTCTTGGCCTGCAGCCCTGTCAGTCAGCCGCCCAGGCAGCAGATCCCTTGGCCCCACGCGAGCCCCAGATGACCACAGCCAACTGACATAAGGCTGCACCCACAGAGCCAGAGCCACAGTTCTGGAATTCCCAACTGTGAAACAGCATGTCTGTAATGCTAAATCGTGAGGTGCTTTGTTAGGTAGCAGGAGCTAACTAGACCACGGAGAGGTAAGCCATGGCTTTAGACTGAAGTTGTCAAGGATTTTGTCTTGCTTGGATCCACAATCAATGCTCATGGAAGCAGCAGTCAAGAGACCAAATGGTGCACACTGCACTAGGTCCATCTGCTGCAGAAGATCACTTTAATGTATTGAGAAGCAAGAATGTTACTTTGAGGGCTGAGGTGTGCCTGACCCCAGTCATGGTATTTTCAATCGCCCCATCTCCATGCGAGAATGGAACACTGAATAAGGGAGACCAAAGAAGAACCACGGCATTTGGATGGTGGTGTTGACCACACCCCGGCTGTTAGAGCAGACAAGTAACCCGG